TCTCCGGCCTTAGGCCAGTGTTACAAAGCTCTTGATGTTGTTGTGTACTGTGGAGTTGGTACTGACTCATGCTGACCCTTCCAGTGCATTTACAGAGGCAGTTAATTGCATGGGAGGATATTGCCCATCTTTCTCCCACAGAAGAGCTGGTTGATTTGCACTGTGTGCCTTTGGGATTGCAGCACAGCTTCTTACCACTAGACCATCAGAACTCCCTACGGAGCTCTTGTTGTTATGTACCATGGAGTCAGAACTGACCCTCCAGTGGTTTTCAAAGGCAGTTAATCACATGGGAAGAGATTGCCCATCCTCCTGTGAAGGAGCTAGTGGCCTCAAACTGCATACCTTTGGGATTGCAACACAGCTGCTTGCCATGAGGGCTCCCCTCCCCACACCCTGTTGTCCGATAAACTTGGGCAAAGGCTCGCATGAGCCATCTCAAGATCAGCTCCTCCCCTGGTCCTCTACTGATGCTGCTGTAGGTCTAACTGATGCAAGAATATCTGGCCCCAAGGGTGCACACTGCATGCCTGCTGATTCTTTGCTGGTGGTAAAACTCAAATCTGCCTCCACATCTGCTCAATTTAGTAACAAAACTAGTCAGTCCTCTTGTGAATAGACTTAACACACCCTTTTCACATATTCTGCTCATCCACTTGGCAAAATCAGATTCAATGACTTAGGAAAGCCATTTTGAACAATAAACGATTTTGAGCATATGGTATATTTGTCCAAGTAGCATGGTCCTCAGAGGTGTCCATAAGGCATGATTCTTCACTATATTCATGCATTTTCACTGTGTCCTCAGTTTTTTTTTAAAATTGTTCTCTTGGTCTTTCTACTCTAGACATTACCCTTTTAGCAACTGACCTTCCTCTGAATACTTTTCATGATTTCTTGAAATAAGGGTCTTGTGGAAAAAGATAGACAGTCTTCTCCACTGAGACTTACAGCCTACAGAAATCCACAGTACGGTTAGCAATGAGTTGGTTCCGACTCATTCACAATGACTGCAAGTTTTGTCTTCCTGGGGTTGAATTATGGTTTGAGTGAAAGTTTTCAAAGCGTATTGGTTTGCCATTCGACCATTCATACATTGTTTTGGTTTGTTGTTGTTTTTGCACATTTTTCCCCTCCCTCCCCTACTCCATCCTCTAACCCACCCAGCAGTGCACCCCTTGTTCCAGATTGTTGTTATATGAATAACACCTAATCATATAATCCTTTTGGGCAGTTCTTCCCTTTATCTGTACTATGATCTATGCACTCTTTTCCCATTCTCTGCTAACCCCACCCCATCTGCCCTATTTTAAAACAGCAGTATTTTATAGTATTTGCCCTTTTATGACTAAGATATTTCACTCAGCATAATTTTCTCCAGGCTTCCCCATGTTGTGTGATGCTTTTTGAATTTGTTTTTCAATGCTGCATAATATTCCATTGTGTGAATGTACCATAGTTTTTGCTATCCATTCATTTGTTGTTGGTGCTTTTTTAATTTGTTTTTCTTTTTTTTTCCTTTTTTTTATTGGGAAAAAATATTGGGGGTACAAGGAGGTGAGGGTTGGGGGCAGAAGGGTGAGGATGGG